AGACGGACAGACGGACGGACGGACATACATAGCTAGATCGACTCAGCTCGGCGAGCTAGGAAGATCCATATATACTTTCCTATGTGGGAAACCAATATTTCGAGGTGTTACATAATTTTTGGCCCAATCAAACTTATAATACCCCCAACACATAGTGTTGTAGGGTATAAAAAAACAATCAAAAAAAAAAAACAATCCAAAAAAATAATGATTGCACATTTAATCATCAATAGGTTTCCCAACATATTTCTAGCCTTAAGCTTCAAAGGACCAAAAGGCTTAATATAGGACCAAAGGCTTAATAGTAAAAGGCTTAATATAGTATAGTATAGTAGTAATATAGTGACATGCAAAATTTCGATTTGGTACTTAAGAACAAAGAATGCGGGAATATAATGCTAGCTTTTCAAAGCTTCAAACACCTCCTTAAAAAATCAAGATTCTACCTTCGTACTATATTCTATACTATTTAGTACTTTTGTGTAGCTTAAAAAATTCAACCTGATTACACAATTACTCACCCGGAAATCCTGTAACGTGAAATTTCTGGACATTTGCTTTAAGAGTCCTGCAGGTACAATATTATTTATTATTTGGTACTTTTTGTACAATTCTAGTACGAAGTTCAAAAAAGCGTACTACATACCTTCGCACTGATATTGACATTCATACTAAATTTTGCATTTCTAAATATTTCCAATTTTTTATGAGGTCTGTATCGGTTCCGCTTCGGTTACCTCCCCTATAAATACCATTGTCACATATCGTTCGCCAAAACCTTTTTTATTTGTTGTTGTGTGCACACCTCATATATAAATGTTTTCCAAATTCGCGATTTCTTTCCCCCTTCAATATTTTAGCGATTCTCCAAATCTCCATTGTTTTTTTTTTTCTCTTTCATTAGCTCCTTGAGTTTTCAGCAAAACTCAGACCCAAATTGAAATTGTTTGTGAAGTACACACTCCTATTTCTCCGTCTCCTGTCATCATTAACAGCCTGCTATTTTCATTGTCATCAGCCGACAAACTTTGGTATTCGATTTTCATTTCCTTTTACTCATTGCCTTCGTCATTGGCCTTTTGTTTTCACATCATTCCCTACAATGACACAACTACACATACAGAGACACACACACACAAAATAAACACTTAAGCTTTAATCAAGTTTTTATGATACACCCACATCTCCCCTGATCGCCCTCTCTCTCTCTCTCTTCCCCACATTTTACAATGTCGCCCCCTAATGCCAAATAGCATTTCCTCCATTAACCAAGTCGAGGGCATGAAAGTATGTAAGTTCGTCAACGCGTTCGGATACGCGAAATTGTTTTCCTCGCTGTTGCCTTTGTTTTTCCTCAAAAAGTTCAATTGGAAAAGTGAAAACAATAACACCAGCCAGTTGATGGCAACAATAGCTGGCTCATTCTCCATTCTCCAGGATATTGGCAAAGCATCTCTTGAAATCTTCTATTCCTGTCAAGGATGTCTTTTTTTGGCTGCGAATTTTCATTGCCTTAATTTGAAAATTGTATCGAAATTGCCAAGAATTTTACTCCTGTTTACTTTTCGCTCCTATTTTCTATTTCACCGACTTGGGGGTGTTGTTCTGCAATAGCTTTTTTTGGATTTTGTTGCTGTTTGAAAACAATACCCTGATTAGTTGCCAAACTTAAGTATTTATTTTTTTTTCTTTCGTTCATTTTCCTTTGGATGCATTCGTTAGTGAGGATGCTGCTCCGCTGCTGCTGCTCTGGCTTCCATTGAAATTTTGCCATTGTCATTGTTGTTTTTGCTACTTAAGATTGCGTCTTTTGTTTTGTTTTCCGTGGAAAAGTGTTTTGCGATTATTGTCACGCCTTTTATTCGATGCTCTTTTGTTCTTAGTTTTGAGTATTGGTAGATTGTTTTCAATATCTCTTGAGTGTAGAGGCGTCATCGTTTATTGTCTACTAAAAATGCCAAAACTTAAGTTTTGCCAATAAATGCGATGGGGAGAAAAAGTCCTTTGGAGGGAATTAGGTTTTTCTCTCTCTTCTTTTTAGAGATATATGTGTGAATTAATTGCAGGGATGGGATGTAAATTAGTTTAGAAACATTTTTTTTGTACAATAACTTAAAATTATTCTTGCTGATCGGTATTATATTAATTTTTCAACTAAATTGTTCGTTGAAATCAGAATCTACATCAAAGCCACTAATATCTTTGTCTCAGGATTCAAGGCAATGTTCAGCTCTTGATTTGTACGTATAAAAATATTTTATTTTTACACCCACAGCTTTATTTTATTTTATATTTTTTTTTTTCCAAAAATGTGCGGGTTTTGAGCCCTTGCCCATCAGAATGAAATTACATTTAAAGTCGCAATTTCTCTCTCTGGTGGCCAGTGCGCACTTGAAGGAAAAATCAGATTTGGTCTTAACTTAAGAAATCGTAACATTTCTGTGAAATTTATATTGAGTTCGAAGATCATCCAACTTGGTCCATTCCTGACTTCAATCCGCCTCCCCTACAAAAAAATCAAAATATTTAAAAACTAATAAAATTTAAACAAACGATAAATTACCAGTAGGGTTTTCGAGAGTGGTATGCTTTTTAACAAATTTAGTAGCATTTAGTACTTTTCATGCACTTAAGTACAAATTTCGAAAATTTCCTCCATATCACAATCCTACTCTCCGCCAGTAATGTTAATTTAAAATTTTAGGATTCCAGCTTCATTCGTTTCTCCAAATTCGAATGGTACTAAATTTAGTACCGTTTAGTACTTTTCGTATACATTAGTACACATCTCCAAAACTACCTCCTTACATCGACCCTACTCCTCAACCTTGAGTCCCATTCCAAATTTCTAGTCGTTCATATGATACGAAATGGTATCATCTATCATACACTCCATCAGTGACCCTCATTCCAAATTTAAGAGTTCTAGCTCTACTGCTTCCTCAAAATCAAAGGGTACCATATTTAATGTCGTATCATTCTAGAATAGAAGAATTTCTAAAAATCCAGCCTTTACTGACCCCTTTGGACTAAGAGTGACCCTCACCCAAAATTTCAAGAAAAATCCCTTATTCCCATCAGGTCTCTTGTTGAGTGAAACATTAAGATATACTTAGTTTAAAGAGAATTACTAACATGTTCCGCAAGCTATGAGGGTTACGAATAGAAAAAATGTTGGCCCTTTATGGGGAAGGTACCTGAAGCAGTGGTCGACTATATCCCAACATCCCAACAGACCTAGGCTTTGTAAATGTGTGAAGAATGGCAAGAATCGTGTGCTTATTTTTCATTTTATTATCGCTTTGGTTATTCAAAAGTTTGACCCCTTTGTGGGGGAGGTACCAGAAGAAATAGGCCGATATCTACCATCTTCACAACAGATCTTGTGTTAATATAAATATTGAAATGTGTGAAGTTTAGAATGAATCCGATGCATACTTAGCATTTTATGAGCGCTATGATTATTCAAAATTTTGACCCCTTTTGTGGGGCAGGTCCAAGAAGGAATGTACCGATATATCCCATCTTCACGCCAGATCTTGTGTTGATAGAAATATTGAGATGTGTGATGTTTAGAATGAATTCGATGCATTCAAAATTTTGACCGCTTTGTGGGGGAGGTACTAGAAGGAATGGACCTATCCCTATAATTTTCATACCGGTTCTCATTTTGATAGAAATACTGGGATATGTAAAGTTTAGAATGAATCCGATGCATAATTCGCATTTTATGGGCGCGTTGGTTATTAAAAATTTTGACATCTTTGTGGGGGAGGTACAAGAAGGATTAGGCCGATATATACCATTTTAACAACAGATCTTGTGTTGATAGAAATATTGGGATGTGCGAAATGTGAAGGCAATCGGACTTTTATTTTAAAGTTAAAGAAGACTTTTATTTTAAAGTTAAAGAAACAATTATTTAAAACTTCGACCTGTTGTGGAGGAGGTAAAAATATCAAAATGTGTAAAATTAAAAAAAAAAATCGGGGGAGGTACTTAATAGAGTTGACCGATATTGTCCATTTTCGCCTGACCTAGCATTTGTGCTAATTTTAGGATTTGCAAAATTGGAGTAAAATCGGATTATCCTTTCACTTTCTGTGCAGTAAATTATTTTCTTTGAAAATGTCGACATTTCGTGAGGGAGCTATTTGTAGGAGTGGACAGATATTACGCATTTCCGAACCCGGTCTAAGTTTTGACAATAATATTACGATGTACCAACTTTGGATCAAATCGGATATTCCCTCCGAGAGTTATCGTGCGAACCAGCCAGCCAGACAGACGGACGGACGGACATGGTTAGAAATATCCTGAAACCAATTTGGCCCAAAGAGACCTAGGGTCTACAATCGTTATTTCGATGAGGCATGCTATGGACATATGAAATGGTATACACCCTCTGGAGCCATATGGCTGAGACTGAGAATCGGATTTAATAGATAAAGCTCTTTCAAGGAATTTTTTTCAAATTCAGTTTTGTAAGAATTTCCATTTTAAAATATTTAACTTTTCATTGTTTTTTGTTTCCAAAATGTATTTTCTAATATCAAAATTCTTTTTTATTCAATCTCCTATCACTGGTTTGCCATTCCTGTATTGCATTGCTTTGGTCTCAATACCTTTTCACACTTTTGCGAATTTTCGTGCGACAAAAACTTGTCAAACTATTCAAACAAAACGTAACGGAAAAGTATTGAAAGAAACTTTATTTTTATCCCCCGAAAATCCATTAACAATAAAGTCAATAACAATGTGGAACATTTCAGATAACATTGGAGAATTCTTCGAGCAGTAAATTGAAAACTTTTTGAAATTATCCATGGCAACAGCAGCCAAGTAAAGATTTTTGGTGTTCATTTGAAATACTACCACAATGTCCAAGAGAGGGAGAGAGAGAGAGAGAGAGAGAGAAATTTAATAAAATGCAAGATTCTATTTTTTTTTTTGTATATTTTTATTAATTTTTTATTCTTTTTTATGCAACTTTTTTACAGGTAAAGACGAAAAATCCTTTGCCATGTACATCGATCGCCAGCGTTCATGGTTCCAGCATAATTCGGTGCATGAGCGACGTGTCGAGGGTGGCATCAGCACGGGCAGCACCATTGGTGTGCTTTTGAATTTGGAACGGCATACATTGAGTTTTTTGGTTAATGGCATGCCTCAGGGTTCCATTGCATTCCGTGATTTATATGGTGTATTTTATCCGGCTGTGAGTATTAATCGCGGTGTTACCTTAACATTGCACACGGCCTTGGATGCACCACAAATGGATTACTTTTGAATTAAGAAAGGCAAAGCAGGAGGTGGAGGATAACTGAAATGAAAAGGAAACCGAGGAAGAAGAAAATGTTCTCTGTAAATATTTGTTTAATTATAAGGTTTGTATATTGAGTGTGTTTTTTATCATTGATGAAAATCGTATATATATTTAAATGTTTATTATTATTATTATTATAATTATTATATAGTTGGTAGTAGTTACATATCTAAATTAAAAATAATAATATAATTGAAATTGTGTAGTGGTGTTAGGTACAATGTCTAAGAGATTTATGAAAACAAAAAAAAATTGAAAGGGAAAGGTAAAAAATATTTCATTAAATGATGAGAACAGAACTAGAACCGAAAATCAAAGTTTAGTATAAATTCTTAGTTTGTAGTAGCAAGGAAAAAAATTAAAAAAGAAAACCCTTATTCAATACAGAGCGAGTTGGACGTTCTAAACGTCAGTTCTATTTTTCTTTAAAATAAATTAAAGAAAAATTATAGAGGAAAAAAGAACGGAGGGATTATTTAGATGTAAACCAAAATAAACCAGAATGGGAAGGAAATTCATTTTTCAAAATTATATCCAAAAATTGTTCAAACTAAAAAAAAATATATATATATATATATATATATATATATATTTTTTTTTTTTTTAATTTTCACCTTTAAACATAGAAAAATTTTTTCTTTAAATTTTGAACCATGTAATTTTTAAAAACTGAATTTCCCCACATCATTGACATCCCATTAAAAATAGTCACTAATTATAATAAATAACATTTAAATGCTTAATAGAAAAAAAAAAACGCTTGAAAAAAATTAATAATTAAAATATTGTATAAATAAAACATTTTAAAATCTTTTCACTTAAGCCAAATAAAATCCAATAAAATATATTATAAATATATATAAAAATTATAAAAAAATAATTAACAACAACACAAAACACCAAAAATTATTGACAACATTTTTAAAACACACACAGAGCTGTAAAAAGAAATTATTAAAAAAATTGAAAAAAATTTAAAAAATCATATAAATAATTACAACGTATCACCAATGCATTTAAATCACCCTTCACGAGATTCAAATCAAAAGAAAAGGAGACAATTTTAGTAACCATATGCTAGAACTATCTTGTAACATAATTTTCAAAAAAGTGGGGTTATGGTTGATTTTTTAAAAAATGTGCAAGTTTTCAAAACAAAATAGGAATTTTTTTTTAAAGGAAGTAGACAATTAGCCTTTATTGTATTGAAAACTTCTAAAAAAGTTCGAGCAATAGAAGAATATAAACAGCTAATTTATTGAAAGAAAATCTATAATCGATCTTTTATGGAGTAAGTTTTAGGAAGCTGTTCTATAGGTAGAAGTTCTTTCAAAGCTTTTCTTTATGTAGATAATGTTTTAAGTCTCTTGTATGTGTAAGAGAGCTTTCAAAGCTCCTCTTTAAATATAGGATATTTAAAAGCTCTTCTATGCATCAAATCCTTTTAAAATCTCTTATAAATATAGACGATTTTTCAATGCTCTGATTTAGGTAGAAGACCTTTCAAGGCCCTTCCAAGTTATTCTATACATAAATGGAATAGTTTTTAAAGCTCTTCTATCGATGAAAGTCCAATCACGTATTTTCAATATAGAAAATAATTTTATAACCACTTCTGAAGATAAAAGACCTATCAACGTTCTTCTGATGATATAAGACTTTTCAAAGCTCTTTTATAGATAGAATGGTTATCAAAGTTCTTCTCTATATAAAATACCTCTAGCGATGAAATACCTTTGAAAGCTCTTTTATAGATAGGAGACCATTCTAAGGGTTTTTATAAATATAATTAATTCTTAAGATCTCATAAAGCTTTAACAGCAATTCTATAGATAGACGAGCTTTTAAATTACCTTTATAGTTGAGCCTTTAAAGATCTTCCATAGATAGATGAGCTTTTAAAGCTCTTCTATAGGTAGACGATATTCAAAAGCTCTTCTGTAGATAAACGAGCTCTTCTTAAGATAGATGAGCTTTTAAAGTTCTTTTATTGATAGACGATCTTTAAAAGTTTTTCTACAGACAGACGATATTTAAAAGTTCTTCTATTGATAGATGAGCTTTTAGGTAGACGATATTTAAAAGCTCTTCTATAAGTAAAAAAGCTCAGGAGCTCTTCTAAAGATAGATGAGCTTTTAGCTTTGAGTTCTTCTGTAGACAGATCTGCTTTTAAAGCTCTTCTGTAGACAGACGATTTTTAAAAGCACTTCTATAGATAGACGATATTCTATAAATAGAATACTTTTCAAGGCCTTTCTATACGTTTAAGGTCCTTCAGATTTCTTTCAGTTCAGTTTGTCCATAGAAGATTTCAAATGTCTTTCCTAAATGTAAGATATTTTACAAATCATCCATCGGCAGAATATTCTACAAAGATCTTTAAAAGCTCTTCTATAGGTAAACTACTTTTCGAAACACTTCTATAGGGAGAAGACCCTTTAAACCCATGTTAACCCTTTTAATGCCAAGTTTATTCCGTAGAAAAAAAATATATTTAAAAGTTCCCCTATAGAGAGAAGATCATTAGATTTTTTTATTGATAGAAGGCCTGTAACAGATCTTATAAAGGGCGAATTTAGGAGATCTTTTGTGCATTCCAGACTTTTTATGAATTTTGCAATCTTCTCTAGAGACCATCCTTTAACGCAAAGAAGACCTTTAGAGAGAAATTTATGCATAGATGATCTTTCAAAAACTCTTCTATCTATACCTCTTTCAAAGCTCTTTAAAATAAACTGGTTTCTCGTAAGCTCTCTTATCTACACAATATTTTTTTAAGATTTTCTCTCTATAACGTATTTATAAAGCTCTCCAACAGTTGGATTTTTAAAGATATTTTAACTAAAGAAGACTCTTTAAAATTGTCTCTCTATAAGCTATTTTCAAAGCTCTCCTACTTCTAGAAGATCTTTTAAAGCTCTTCTTTTAATAAAAATTTTACAGATGTTGTAAGTGTAAGAGACATTTCAAATCTTTTTAGAGACAGTTTCTACTGTTATTACAATTTCTATCCAAAGCTGATAGACTTCCTCCAATACTTTAAACTTCAGATTTCTCTAGATTTCCAAATTTTAAAAATTTTCCATAACCTTTATTTTTGAAGTAGAGTAAATCTATTATGAATATAGCTACTGTATCAGTCGGGACTTTTTCGTAATAAAAACTGTAAATATAAATATAGGAAAATAATTTTTATTTTTCATAATTCGACTGCTGCCATTGAAATTCAAAGAAAAATCCACACTTTTAATAAATCTCGATGTATATCTTATAAATATTTTTGAATTACAAAAGTCTTTTTGAATTATTGGAAAAAAATCTTGCATCTGCTTGAAAAAAAATTTAAATATTATTTCAACAAAATTTATTTCTACAAATTCATTTGAACTTTATTCAAAAAAGCTCTCTTAATAAACAATTTAGGCTACCTTTTAAAATTACAATTTTTTATATTTATTTATAATATCCAAAGCAAAACAAACAACCATGTTAATAAAAAAATTAAAAAAATTCAAAACATTTTTATACTAAAATTAATAAAAAAAACAATATAATATCCCCTTAAATTAAATATAAGTGTTAATAATATTTTGTAAATAAACAAGCAAACAAACTAAGGAAGACAAGTAAAACAAACAAACCAACCAATAAAAATAATTTAATTTATATTACGTTAAAAAATATAAAAAATAACGAGCAAATTAAAAAATTGTTTAAGCCATATTTTATATATTAAAAAACCATATAATTTATGAAATTTATATATAGAGATTTAATTTTATTTTTTATATATATACATATTCTATATTCAAAAAAGAGAAAAACAGAAATAGCATAGTATATCTAACAAATTATATGAAAAAAATTAACATTTAAATTAATTACATTTAAGTGCAAATTATTTAATGAATTGATTAATTTTTCGTAAATATTTATAGGATTATATAGCAATTAAATCAGAATAAAAAAACACAAAACGATAAAACACACATTTAAAGCAAACATACAGACATATACATATGCTAGTAATATGGCAATAACATAACGTGACAAATGTTTGTGCGTAAACCTCTAGTATTCAATCAAAAAACAAAATGAATATAAAACAAAGAATTAAATGTGGAAATGAAAATGACAATTGAATTCAATTAAATGAAAATAAAATAAATGAATAAAAAACACAAAATGTGAAAACAAACAAAACAATGAAAACACACAACAAACATATTATTCCAAAAATCAAATAAAGAATACTTAAAAAAAAAATGAAAATATAATTTTTTTATTATTATTGTTGTGGAAATTAATATCACGTAAGTATTTTCTGGGATTTGGGGGGTTTAAATTAAATAAAAAAGTTACAAACACAGATGTCATGTGTTTGTTTGCGCCTTAAAGTATGCTCTGAAATTTCTCCAAGCACATTGAAGCAAAAAGGGTAACACTGGCAACGACATGATTATAGCGCCATCTATTGAATCACATGATCGAAATCAAGGCAGCAAAATTTTGAAAATGCAAAAAATGAAGAGTTTTTAACAGTGGAACCCCCTTTGAATGACCAAACGACTTCTTTTACAGTGGAACCCTCCTTTGAATGAATAACGGATTTTTGTTAAAGTAGAACCCCATTTGAATGAATATCCGACTTTTTTTACAGTAGAACCCCCCTTTGATAGAATGAACGATTTTTTACAGTGAATGAATTACCTTAGAGAACCTTAGAGAATGAATAACCGATTTTTTATAAATAAACGACCAGTTTTTTCTGAATAATTGCTAATTTATTTAAAATGAATAACTTTAAATATATCTAGCGTTTCAATGATCGAAATTAGGGCAGCAAAATTCTGAAAATGCAAAAAATTGATATTTTTTTACAGTGGACCCTCCTTTGAATGACCAAACGACTTCTTTCACGGTGGAACCCCCTTTGAATAAATTACCGAATTTTTACAAATAAACTTCCAGTTTTTTCTGAATAATTACTAATTTATTTAGAATGAATAACTTTAAATAAATCAAGCGTTTTAATGATCGAAATTAGAGCAGCAAAATTTTGAAAATGCAAAACATTCATAGTTTTTACAGTGGAACCCCCTTTGAATGACTAACCGACAGTAGAACCTCATTTGAATTAAAACCCGAGTTTTTGTTACAGTGGAACCCCCTTTCCTCGAATAAACGATTTTTTACAGTGGAACCCCCTTAGAATGCATAACCGATTTTTTTACAAACGACCAGTTTTTTTCTGAATAATTACTAATTTATGAATGAAAAATGAATAACTTTAAATAAATCTAGCGTTTCAAAAAT